AATACTTAAAAAAATACATGTAGAAAAATACAAAAGTAATACAATATGTTAAATACATATAGAAAATATATAATATATTGAATTAAAATAAAATAAATGTTAAATAATAGTTTTCCCGTTATTACTATGTAAGTACAATTTTCATTAATAATTGGAAATAATGAGTATATTATAGGAACATTAATGTGTTTTTACGTTACCACTTAATAATATGTTGAATTAAAATAAAAGTAATACATAAGACTACGGATATTGGTTAAGGAACTAGACTGGAACTGAAATAATGAAAGACCGATTAAGATGTGAACGGAGAATAAGGGACAAGAGAGAATACCACTAACCGTTTCTAATATATTTCGGTTCCTATTCTATTCTATTAAAAGGTGTTCTATCTAAGAATGTGTTTTGAATTGAAACCAAAAATAAAAAATGATAGATTAAAAGAACAAAGAACCAGATAGAATATCACTAACCGGTTCCGTTTCTTTTTTATTTCAACCAAAGAGCTTCTAACCTAATGATATCAGTTGTTGCTCTTGCTCTTTGAAGTCGATGATTTAAGTTTCGTTGTAGACATAGATAGAATTAGGCGTTTGATTATGAATATATTAAATTTGCAAAATTGAAAGTTGTAAACTTTTAGGAATCCAACCTAGAAATTTGCAGATAACATTAACCATTTTTGCATTTTATTCTATCTTAAATTCTAGAAAATATTGAATAATAAAAATCTACTATAATAAATGAAGGTTTTTTTTGCCACATATTATCTTCTCCTTCATTTGGACACTTGGTATTTTTTTAAAATTTTAAATTTTCTATTTTCCACTTGTCATTTTATTGTAATTTTCATTTTACTAATTAAAATTGCATATTTAATGTGTAATGTAATATATATGTAAAGTATTTATTAGAAAGAGTTTATATATGTAATGTATTCAATACATTAAAGTTTCAATAATTTTAATAATTCAAAAAAAATTCATTTTTCTTAAAAATTCAAACTTTTCGAATTGTTAAAATTTCATATTTTTTTTAATTAAACTCATGTAATACATGGGCTCACCTAGTTTTAATAATAAAACAAGTTATTATAGTTCAAACTTGTTATTATACCTAAAAAAACTTGTAATTATAGGTCAAAATAGTAAATTGAAATAAATGATATTATTGTCTAGATTCTAAAGGATTGGAAGTGATGAAAAAAAGTCTACATAAAAAAGTTATATTTTTTTAACGATACTCTTTAATTCATCTATATTCTAAATAAGATCTTAACCTTTAACTAAAAAAAAGGATAATACTTAATATCGTTAGACTGAAAAATATTTGGTATAAAAAAAAGTTATATGTCAAATGGATCTGGAGCGTTCCCATAGATATTTGGCTTCCTATCTTTAATGCTGCTGGGTGTGGGCAACATGTTATTACATGTTATGACAATCAAAGTATCCACCTCATCATCATACTCATACTTTTGGTGTTATAACACCTAAGACGGAATAGACAAAATCAAATAACATATAATAACATCTATCATTTTCTATTTATTTATAATATTTTTTTTGATGTTTGTAATTTTCATTTTTCTATGTTGTTTTATTTTTTTTTTAATTTATGTCATAATAATTATTAAAAAACATATAAATTAAATAACACATAATTAAAATAAATACTAATTAAAAAACTACAATACAACGAAAAAAAACATTGACCGAAAAAAAAACATTGACAAAAAAAACATTACAACGAAAAACACACACTAATCTTCGTCTAAATGTTTCTGTTCGATCTTCGCCTTCATTTTTCGAACTACTTCCAACCGTCTCGGTGACAAATTATCCTTGCTAGTTTGAAGAATTGTCAAATTTTTCACAATGCGATCTTCCTCGATTTCACGACGAAGGAAGTCCAAATGATCTCGTTGCAACTCATATCTTTTTATGCGCGATTTCATTATGATCGTCAATTTTTTTTTTCATTTCGACTTGCTTTCGACGTCTACTTTCGGCATCATCCGCATGTCGTTGAGCACACCTCGCTTTGTCGCGGCCTATCGGTCGTCGAGGCGGGGAGGTCTCTTCAAGGTTGTTCAAGTCGTCCGGTATCTAATCCGTGTCCGCATTGTGGTCGATGTTCGAGACTGTGTCTGAAACATCGACCGAACCCGAGCCGCACGACCGCTTTGATTGTTGTTCCGTAAATATGTCCGTTTTATTCCACTTTGCGTATTCCTTTTCAATCTCCCAAATTTTTTCGTGTTAAAAAACGTGATCGGTCTCGACATAATATTGCTCCCTCAATGCTCTATAAACGTCAAAATCGGTCGCACCACTTTACTTGTGCGAGGAAAGTTTGTTGTAGACGGAATTAAACTTGGTGTACTTCTTGCTTATTTCAGTCCATTTGCTACTCAACATGCTGTGATTGTGAGTTTGAAGAATTATCAAATCTTTTGCAAGAGATTATGATCCTGCCAGGTTTCTCTGTACTGATAGTGTACAGATGAGAAGTATGATGGATTGCACATTCTTGTTTATTTGTGTAACGCCCGGGTTTCAGGGCTAAGCATTTTTGACGATGTAATAGTCTAGGTCAACTATTGTAACTCTTTTTGAAGTAATAAAGATGAAATATTTGAGTATTATGTGAATTATGTGTATTTATGTGCTTATTATTTACTTATAAATGTATAATTAATAAAGAATAAAAATAAGCGTCAAAAATTAAAGTGTGATATAAGCCCGTATCTTTATACAAAGTTGTAGTAGTCGAAACAAGGATTCCGGGGATATAAAGAACGCCGAAATCCAAGTTATAACGAAGAAGTTATGACCCGTCAAAGTTTCGCGACGGAACCGGTACGATACCGGGAAGCGTAAATAGTGAATTTACGATAGAGCAAGATTTAGCCCTAGCGATCTAAATGAAAGTCGTATTGCATGTTAAACTAAGAGCGTCGATAAAAAGAACGCCCAAATCTGACTTCGTATGATGAAGTTATGATTTTTCGAAGTTTCGGATTAGCAGTATACAACCCAAAATTCGAATATTAGATCGAGCGGTTTTTAGCCGACACAACCTAAATGAGAATCGAAGGTCTCTTTAAGGGTAGCGTAACGAGAAAAAGATGGGCGAAAACGAACATCGGATGAAAAAGTTATGAGAATTTAACGGACCAATCCTGTCCCGGCCTGTTAATAATATAACTTTTAAAATAAATTCAAAATTAGCCGACGAAGTCTAAACGAAAGTTGTAGAGTACGTTTCCCACCTTCGCGTGGATATAAAGAACGTCGAAAACGGAGCTCGTATGCGAAAGTTATGATTTTTAGAAGTCGGACAGGAAAATTGCGAAATCTACGGGGAGGAGGATGACGTGGCCGCATCTCAGCCTTTGCTTTTTGACCAAGGCTTCACTTCGGATCTTGACACGTCGCTTCGCGTTACGCCCCACGTACGAGATTCGGTACGCCCAGCGTACCTTCGGGTCTTATCCATCCGGAGTGCGAGACAGTTGGCTTCGGCTGGCAAGCCTATCCGAGAGTACGCCCAGCTAGGGATGAGCAAAAGAACCGAACCGGCCGGAACCGGCCCGAACCGAACCGGATCGGGGAACCGGCTTCGGCCAAAATGAAGAACTGAACCGGCCCGGCGGTTCTACCGGTTTCGGTTCCGGATCCCTTTTTGCCGGTTTTTCGAGTTTGGAACCGGCTAAATTTTGATGTATCCAACGACTAAATTACTTTGCGTTTTATTGGTTTTTCGGGTCCGATTTTTGCCGGTTTTTCGAGTAATTCCAACGACTAATTTACTTTGCGTTTTATTGGTTTTTTATGAAGAAGTGGATGTTTAAATACTAGTAAATAATCAACATTTTAATAATAAACATTTTAATAAACGATTCAACATTCAAGCAAATTAACCATGGATCTTTTATTTAAATTATTACAAGCAAATTAAACATGGATGTCGTCAAAGTTATGTTATTAAGTATCCAACATTCAAACATTCAACATTCAAAATACACTTTCAACATTCAAAATATACTTCCAAGCTTCACCAACAAAAAAAAAAACAAAGTCTAATATGTGGATTCCAACATTTCTTTGACATTTTGACTAATTCCCCGATCTTTTCCCCGTTAGCTTCAAGTTGTGTATAGCATCTACAATGTCTATATATAATACAAAAGAAAATTGTTATTACTTACTAAAATGTAACAAATACTAATAAGAAGTTAAAAATAAGATGTAACAAGTATTAGTGTATTACCGATATCAAGGTCATCGTCAGCTAACACATCGTGCACTTCGTCGTAGTCATATATAGGCAAGCTACTCTTTCTTAGCCAATCTTGAGTGCATATCAATGCCTCCACAATCACAACGGACAAATTAGTACGGTAGTCGGTAATTACTCTACGACCATTACTGAATGTGGATTCGGATGCTACGGTGGAAATCTGCATCCCCAAAATATCTATTAATAAACAAATTAGTGTATAATACACGACACAAATTTATAAATTAAAATTTTAAATTAGAGTAAAAGAAGGTCGATACCTCTTGCCATTTGAGCAACGATCAGGAACCGCACCGCATTATTTTTCCACCATGTGAGGATATCATATCCTTTGTCAAATCTGATTGGGTCCTCGTTTAAGTATCGTTGCAATTGACTTTCTGACGAAGTCGAGGGGAAACCTCCCGAAGTCATATAGCTTCCAAAGAATTCGTTTTCGTCATCAAAATTAACAACTTCTTCGGGAGTTTCTTGTTGAGACGATGAGGTCATGTTTGACCTTTCCAAGTATGTCTTGAAAAACTTGTCCAATTTGCATTCGATATCAATAAACTTTGCACGTGCTTTGGATTCTATCTCATCAACGGACATCTTTTTATCTTTGTTCTTGGCTTTAAGCATTTGGGTAAAAACAACTTTCATAAACTTTGACTTGCATTGAGGATCTAACAATGTCGCAAAGAAGATATAATCACTTATAGTATCCCCCAATATTTGTCATATTTATCTTTCATATCCGGTACCATAAACATAAAATCCGGGTTGGTTTCATGTTTCCTAAGATGTTGGTCTATATCTAGGATCTCCCGGGTATACGTATGGAAGATAGGCTTTGTTGAACACGAAACTTTTTCAGTTTTCTTTTTAAACTTCTCAAGGAACTCCATCATCTTTTTAATCATCTCAAAATCTGAATGTGATGGTACCCTTCCCACAGTTTTCTGAAACATTGGATCTACAAAAAAAAAAACAACAAAATCAGATTACGTTTTATTGTTGTTAGAAAAAAAAAATCAGATTTGACACCCTTCCTTGCGGGGCCTGTAACTCATTCAATTTTTAACCAAATCAAGCATTTTTATAGTCTAAATTCAACTAAAAATCCTAATCTACATGTAGGAAAAAGATTCAGGTCAAAACAAGTTAAATTGAATGAGTTATGCACATTTGAACAACAAAATCACATCACATTTTATTGCTGTTAGAAAAAAAAAATTTAGATTTGACACCCTTCCTTGCGGGGCTTGTAACTCATTCAATTTTTAACCAAATGAAGTGTTTTTATAGTCTAAACTCAACTACAAATCCTAATCTACATGTAGGAAAAAGATTCAGGTCAAAACAAGTTAAATTGAACTAGTTATGCACAATTTAATATTTGGACTGATTGCTAAAGAAATAAATATTGCTAATTTTAGTGCTGAAATATATTTGATTAATTGATTTTATTTACCTTGATGGCTATATTCGAGAAATGTGTCTTTCACATCGTACGCTGGTCTTAGCAATTCAAAGGTAGAGTTCCACCTTGTTGGACTTTCACCACACAAAAACCTTTGACTTTCTACAGCCGCATCCTTCATGGCTTGTTTAAACGTCTTGATCCGTTGCGGGGAGGCTCTAATGTATTTCACCGCATCTTGTAGGTTTTTTACATGATAAACTTCGTGTTTTAACCCTATTTTCACAACTAGGTTTATGATATGAGCCATACACCTAATGTGAAAATGTTTGTCATTCTCGTAAATACCCGGTAGTTCTTTCACAATGATGTTGATTGCCGCGTCATTTGTCTTGGCATTATCAACGGTCATCGTCATGACATGCTTCATCCCCCACTCGTTTATGCAAAGTAGCAACTCCCGGGCCATCTCTTCAGCTTTGTGAGTATCAACCTCTCTAAAGTTGACTACCCTTTTGTGCATGACAAAATCTTTGGTAATGAAGTGAGCCGTGACAACCATACAATTTATCTTTTGACACGAGGATGTCCACGTGTCGGTTGTCAAGTGGATGGCTGTTTTGGGGTTGCTCGGTTTGTACAACTTCTGCCTCTCCATTAAATAGAATGACACAACATCACGAGAAATTTTATGCCTTGAAGGCAATTTCACCCTACCATTGAGGGCGTTTACAAATTCTATGAATGCCTCGTTTGCAATGAATTTAAATGGTAGTTCCCCGATGGTGAAAAGTCCTATCAAGGCAAGTTGGATCCTAGTATCATCATGTTTCCATGTGTATACATGACCCTCACCATTAGGAGCTTTCGTAAATGACAACTTTTGTTGTTTGTCATCAACATGTTTTGGTATGTTGTCTGGATTTAACTTGCACCCATTAAAATGCTTGTTTATTGAAGTTGTACCATTCCGGTTTGGATCTGCAGCTAGTAAATGTAAACAATAATTACATTCGGCCCACTTTCTTTCAATTCCATCGTCCTCCTTTATCCATTCGATCTTGAAGTATTTCCAAACAGGAGCGGTACAATTATCTCTACCCTCACCTCGTCTGGTTGGGTTAATCCGATCCCTTAACTCCTTTTGAGTCTTTTTTTTTGTTTTTGGGTTTTGGTTTTGTTGGGTATTTTTCTTGTGTTCGTTTTTGTGGTGGTGGTGGTTTTTTTGTTTGTGTTGGTTTTTTTGGTTGTCTTTGTTTTTGTGTGGTTGCAAATTTTCGTTTTTTTGAAGGTTGTTGTTCTTGTGGCTCCTCTTCTTGGTTTGATTCATCACTTGGAATAGCATTCCATGCCGGTGTTTCTTCTATATAATCTTCTTCTGAATCTTCTCCATAATCCTATATTCACAAAATAAAACATATAATAAGTCATATTACGTTTAAATGCTGAAAAATAAATATAAAAAACAAAAATCAGATTTGACACCCTTCCTTGCGGGGTTTGTAACTCATTCAATTTTTAACCAAATCAAGCGTTTTTATAGTCTAAATTCAACTACAAATCCTAATCTACATCTAGGAAAAATATTCAGGTCAAAACAAGTTAAATTGAATGAGTTATGCACATTTGAACAACAAAATCACATCACGTTTGATTGCTGTTAGAAAAAAAAAAATCAGATTTGACACCCTTCCTTGCGGGGCTTGTAACTCATTCAATTTTTAACCAAATCAAGCGTTTTTATAGTGTAAATTCAAATACAAATCCTAATCTACATGTAGGAAAAATATTCAGGTCAAAACAAGTTAAATTGAATGAGTTATGCACATTTGAACAACAAAATCACATCACGTTTTATTGCTGTTAGAAAAAAAATTCAGATTTGACACCCTTCCTTGCGGGGCTTGTAACTCATTCAATTTTTAACCAAATGAAGCGTTTTTATAGTCTAAACTCAACTACAAATCCTAATCTACATGTAGGAAAAAGATTCAGGTCAAAAAAAGTTAAATTGAACTAGTTATGCACCATTTAATATTTGGACAGATTGCTAAAGAAATAAATATTGCTAATGAGCTAAATACTAATCTTACTTGGTCATCAAAGTCTTTTCCAATCCAATTAGCCGGATTACCATCTTCAATACTGGCATCATGAGCATCCGAGTTTCGGTATCTTGATGATGGTACATTTGGTAGCCCATCCAAATCCTACATTGTCAATTTTACACATTAATTATATAACAAAAGTAGTGAACAAATTCGTAGTTTTGACAATCTTACATAATTACATTCATACTATAAACAATAAACTAATCTAACAAAAATCTTGCATGTATGTCTACAAATTACATTGTTAAATGGAGCTTAAAACATGAAACATATATTATATGTACAACCTTTCATCCGTAAAGGAGTACTCCACTATGAGACTATGATCAAGAATCAAGATCTTTTAATTAAGTAGGGATAACAATGCATATATTTGGAATGGAGACAACAAAAGCAAAGAAAAAAAACTTGCATGCATGCCATTATTTGGCGAATCATTGAAGCATTGAAGCAAATATTGAAATATATAATCTTAAAACATGAAATATAAATATATACTCTTACTTGATCTTCATGAACATCCATAGTTTGAATCATTGAAGCAATTGAAGATGAAAATCAATGAATGATGATAAAGAATTGAAGATCGATTGAAACTTGGAGATGGAAACTTGTAATCAATGGAAACTTGGAGATGAAGAATTGAATGATGATGAAGAGATGTCGATTTGTCGATTGTTGAAGAGAGTAGCTAGTAGGGTTCGTGACTTGGGGAGTTGGGATCGTGGCCGTGACTGATTTTTTTTTTTTTTTGTTACGTGACAGTTTGTGATTTGCGAATAGATGGGAAGCACCGAAGCAGAAATCCAAGCGACAACAACGTGATTACGTCAATATTCAATTGATCTTCAATATGGGGTTTTCTAGCCGGGCCGGTTCCAATAGCCGGTTCTTTCCGGGTACCGGTTCCAAATAATCACGAATTCATAGTATAGGTCCCGGCCCAACCGGTTCCATCGGGTGCCGGTTCCGGGACCGGTTCCGGCCGGTTCCCCAGTCCTTTTGCTCATCCCTACGCCCAGCGTACCACCGAGGTCCAGCCCTATAAATAGATGCGAGGATGGCCGGGTTTTACACACTATTCTCCTTCTCTCTCTAGATTTCTTTCTCTCTCTAAGGGTTTTAACCCTCCCCTAAGCCTAGGTGATCCCCTAGCACCCTAAGGAAGCTCCGAGTCTCTCGGAGTCCCAAGAAAAAGAGTCTTTCGGTTTCGAAACGCTGCTCCATATAAAGCCCGGTTTTCTATAAAATCCGTTGTAAGTGAGCTACGCTTACGCATTTTTTAATATAGCTTTCAAATAATTATAGTAATGTTATTAGGTCCTTAAAATAATTATTTGGGCTATTATTATGAGTTATATTGAGTGTTATTTAATGCTTATATAATAACAATAATAGCTGGACTATTAATTAATCGCGGTTATCATTAGACTAAACCCTAGTGGTATTGGTACTAGGTTTTATCGGAGGAAAATTGTTTTGAGAGTATCGAAGCGTTGTCCGAGTGTTGAGTCACCACCTTTCAGGTGAGTGCATAGTTACTTTCAGATTACACATAGATATGAAGTATTTTATATAAATTACGTGCTATGTGTGCATATTATCTGAATACTTGCTATCTATGCTGGATGAACGTTTTTATACATGTTTTCAATGATTTAAACTGTATATGTATTTTATATCTATGAAAATGTTGGGGTAAAACATGGGTAGATGTAATAGGTGATGTGTGATAAAATGATGAGAGGCCTCGATATTGTTGTTGTTGATCCAGTCATCTAGCGAAGTATAGATGACGACCACAAACTCTTCTAGACAGTTTAGTGGAACACTAGCAGGCTCGTAACCTGTAGGTGTTTGTGAATGATGTATTCACTGGTGTACTCAATCCCCCTCATGGTTGCCTTTAGGACATTTATTGTTGAGGAACCCCCTTAGCAGTGGTGTCCATCCCGATGATGATCCTTAGGCTAGGTCCCTTATGATAGGTGTTTAGGGACGTAAAGTGAGGATAACGGGAACAGGTAATCGGGTTATTGTTGATTGATGAAATTAATAAACTTATTTTTTGTTGGTTGAAAACCCTATGTGCTCACCAGGCTCCCAAGCCTGACCCACTCAGTTTCTTGTATTACAGGTAGTGGTGCATGAGCATAGATGTGATGTTTTGGATGAGGGATTACAGATATAGGCCTGTAGATATGAAATAATGTAGTAAGACTTATATTGTATTGTTTATACTTATGTACTGTATCGAACATGACATCCCGAGTCTTTTAATGAAATACATTTCTAAGGAAATGCTTTTGATAAATCTTTATCATATTATTGTTTTGGGACAAATTCCGCAACTCTTTTATTAAAAGATTACTCTGATTTGGAAATAAAGTATAAACAAAACCGGTCTTTTCTGTCCGTGATTTTGGGGATGTCACAATTTGTTTATTATGCTCTTTCAAAAAAAAAAACATGTCGTGATTGCGGTACTATTCATCTTTATTCAAACTAGTATGAAATTTCCCGATCACGGCTTCCCAAAAATCAACTTTCCGCATATCGTTTCCTTGTGTTGGATTTTTTGATGTCCCGCACCAAGCCACCGCCAACGCGTATTCCTCATTCGCTGTCCACCATGTTGGAGGTTCGACTTCTGATTGCTCCACCGCAACCGTTTTCCCTTTCCTTAGTGTTCTCCCTTTTGGGGACGTTTTTTTCGCTCTCCCGGCTTGTGTATCGGGTACCGTTTGTTGGGTGGGTGGTGGTTGTGTGATATTTTGTTGCATTGTAGCAAATGGGTTGAAAATGTTTTGTGGAAGGGGTGAGGCGGGATTGAAAAAGTTGTCTTGAGTGTTGAGAATGTTCGCATACATTTCATATTGTGCAAAACTGAAAGACGGAGGTGTATTTGCGTTTGGAGGTGGAGTGTTTGGGTTTTGATCCATAGTATTCGAAAGAGAAATTTTTTGAAGATTTGAAATATGGTTTGATATGATATAAAAAAATAAGGTAGATGTATATGTGTGTATGTGTGTGTGTTTGTGTGTGTGTGTGTGTGTGTGTGTGTATATATATATATATATATATATATATATATATATATATATATATATATATATATATATATATATATATATAGGTGTAAGAGGTAAAAAGATTGAAAAAATTAATTAATTTTTTTATTACATTTTTTACCGTTTTACAATGGTTCAAAATCGAAATGTATATGTTGGAATTGGATTTGCGTTGAAAAAATTGTCGTTTTCAAGCGTTACCACAGTAACGCGTTATACCATAATGCGTAAAAATGCATATGGGGCACGGTGTTTCAGGCATTATAATGTCGTTTTTGGTAAGCCACGTCGGAATAACAAGTGTCGATGCCCATTCCTAGCCGTCTAACTTCCAAACTTGTTAAACCAAAACTAAATAATATAAATTTTGGGTGGATCCTTTTTTCTCAAAAATTAAATAATTTTAATGGATAAATATAAAGAAAAAATTGCAAATTTGGTCCCTGTGGTATGTCAAAACTAACACGTTTGGTCCAAATTGGGTTTGGCTTGCAAGGATGGTCAAATAGTTTCATTTTGCTGCAAGTTTAGTCCAGTGGCTTAACAGCCGTTACCAAGCTCCCGTTACTTTACCCATGCCCCTCTCACTTAAGGGTATTTTACTCCATTCATCCCTGTAACCGTTCCCGTCAAAGCTCAATAAAAGTAGTTCGTCTCCTCCTCAATAAAGTAGACCATCATTCTTTAACCAAGATCAATAAAAGCCCTAGACACAAAATCTGTTGTGTTAGTTAAGTTGCGATTTGGTGAGATTATTAGTGGATGAACATACCAATGTGGCACGTAAGGTTGTTAAACACACTTCAACCCCAAGGTTGTTTATGGTACGTAATTTTCCATTTTTCATCTTTTGATTTCTTGAATTTTTTAGATGTAACTCCACCTGAAGTGTTTTTTACTTGTTTTGAAGATGGACACCCAACATTGTTTACCATTAAGTTGTACCATGGAGGTGAGTTCACTAAGTACCCTGATGTTCGTTACATTGACGGAACTGTAAACTATGTGGGCATGGTAGATATATATGAGTTTTCAGTTCATGAGCTCGATGCAATCATGAAAGGTTTCAGATATGAGGTTCCTCCTGTTATATACTACCATTTTCTTGTGCATGGTGGAGACTTCCACTTTGGTCTTCGCCCTTTAGGAAATGATGAAGATGTTGCAAACTTTTCTCAATATGTCAGTGAGCACAAAGTGATGAAGGTATACACAGAACATGGTGAAACAATACTACTCACCTATTTCTTGAATCCTAAACCTGATACCATGGTTACCCTTGTACAGTTAGATGAACCACATGAGGATGTTCAACACAATGATGAAGCTGATGACCAATCAAAGGAATCACATGTGATGACTACACCTACTAATGTGGTGCCCACTCAACCAAACCAACCTGAAATCCAAGTCAATGAAGTACTTCAAGTCATATCCTTATCACCTGAATATAATAGGAGAAGGGTTATAAACAAGGATGGAGTGATGACATTTTGCAATAAGAAAGTATACTTTGATGGTATTGATGAAACTGAGCAGAAAAGCAACCTCAGATGAATGAAGAAAATCACCCTCAGATGAATGACTTTTGGGATTTTGACTATCAAACTGAAGCTTGTGTCCAAGATGGAAGTGAAAACCAACCTCAGTCTAACATGGATAGTAATGGAAAACAAAATATAAGTGAGTTTGAAAGTAAAGAAGGAAGTGAAACAGAGCAAGAAGATGACAGTGATGATAGTGATTATTGGGTGGATGAAGATAATGTAATTGAAGATGTTGAAGTTGATATGAGGGATTTTAACATGAGTATTTATACAGAAGTAGATTTCTTGGATAAAAGGACTAGGAATCCTAAACATTATGAGAGTGATGAAGAAGCTGATGAGTTAGATGTCATTGACAATGATGCTTTTGATTCCATAGATGAGGATTCTGATCAGGATAGGAAAAGAATAGCAATTTTGAAACAACTAAGTAAGGAAAAAAGTTGTTCTTTAGGTGAGGTACATAAGTGTCATTTTAAAATAGGTCAAAAGTATAACAGTAAGCAGGAGTTGAAAGAGAAAATCAAAATGCATGCATTGGAAACTAAAAAGAATATTGCATTTTAAAAAAACGACAAATGCAGGTTGAAGGCCATATGTAATGGAGTTGTGGCATTTACTAATGATGGAGTTTGTGGCCTACCTAACCTGAGAAAAGTAAAGAAAAGGAGAAACAAGGTGGGTCAAGTCAAGATAAAGTAGATTCTTCTTGTCCTCGGATGTTACATGCCTCGAGGTCTACAAATGCAAGCAGTTGGTATATTAAAACATATGAAGACAAACACACTTGTATGAATACAAGGAAGATCAGAGCTGCAACAGAAAAGTTTATGTCCAAACAAATTATGGATCAGGTAGAATCCAACCCTGCTATCCCAGTTAAAGCTCTCCAAGAACAACTACAGAAGAAGTATGGAGTGGGTTTCTCAATTCATAAAGTTTTTAGAGCTAAAGCAGATGCAAAAAAGATTGTAGTGGGTGATTACAAAAAACAATATGAAGTTCTAAGAGACTATATCCTTGAGTTGCAGTCAACCAATCCTGATACCAAAGTTAAATTAGAACTTGGAGATATTTCAGAGTCTAACATGGTGAATTGCACTTCAAGATGTTTCAAAAGAATCTATGTTTGTCTAGGGGGTATGAAGAAAGTATTCAAAGCTTGTTTAAGAGATTTTTTTGATGGGTTTTGGTCATAAGACATCCTATGTGCTCATACAAACCCTAATGCTTGGATCTAGGTTTCTCTATTGTACATGCTTTGAATCCAAGACTATAAACCCTAATTCTAGCATATGAATAATCATATTAACATATAATTAGGTTTAATATGTTACCTTGATTGTTATGTAGCAATAACAATCCCAAATCTCCTTGATTTGACTTTGGAATGCTTAGAGTCACAAGTGTCACTCCTCTAATGGCTTACAAACACCAAGAGCAAATGGAGAAGGTATAAAGAGAGAGGAGAGAGGATAGAATTCATCCTTAGGACTCCTTGGGAACAAGTACACGAATTCTAAGGCCTTAGGGTCTTTATATAGGTGTAGAGATAGGGTTTCAGTCATTATGCTTATCTAGTTGCTTATCCACAAAGCAACCATAAGATAAGCCTTGAAAACCCTTATCCTTTATCCTTTGGACGATTTCAAGGATCCTTATCTCCTTGAATATCTTCAACCCATATTTAGGATAACCATTACCATATTTTGTAACTATCACATAATTACAATTCAGCCCCTCTAGTTTAATTAATTACACTTGATCACAAAATTAATTCCTAATTAATTATTGACCAATATTAATTAAGCAAATATGATTTCTCCTTTAATATATTATTCTTATAACATATTAATAAATCATAATAACCTCTCTCTCTTTATTTATTTCTCTAATCAAGTTGCTTTGGTGAAGGCAACCCAAAAGAACCATGCACCATCGGGTCAAGTACATACCAAAATAGTTATGGACTTAGACACTAATCCAACATTTTTGGGGTTAGATGGGGCTCATATGAAAGGCCCTTATCCAGGCTAGATCTTAACTGCAGTTGGATTAGATTCCAACAATGGCATATACCCACTTACATATGCCATTGTAGAGATTGAAAACTATGAATCTTGGAAGTGGTTCCTTGAATGTCTTGGTGATGACTTGGATCTAAATGCTATGTCTAATTTCACTTTTGTTAGTAACAGAGAAAAGGTAATGGTTGCTTTTTTATTATTTTTAATCTTTATTTTCTAACTATGTGTTATTTGTTGTTAGGGTTTGCTACAAGCAGTTAGTCAACTGTTCCCATATGTTGAGCATAGGTTCAGTCTCAGACATATACATGAGAACATGAAGAAATAATGGAGAACTAAGGAATATAAAGATCACCTTTGGGATTGTGCCACAACTACAACAGTGCCAGAGTTTAACCATTACAAGCACTAATTGAGTTTATATGACAACTCAGCATATGAATGGTTGAAGTACATACCACCACAACATTGGGCAAAAAACCATTTCACAGGTAAGCTGTTATGACCCTTTTACCCTTTTATGACGACCACAACATTATAACACTTTTAACCTTTTCTATATATGGAGAGCAACCACAAACATGTTGTTAATCAACCTTTGTGAGGTGTTTAATGGCAAGCTGGTTGATGGGAGAGATAAACCAATTATTAGTTGCTTGGAGTTTTGTTAGAGAATATATATGATAAAGAGGATATGCAATGTCCTTAAGGTGCAACAGAAGTGTGTAGGCCTACTCACCCCAACAAAATAAAGATCATGGAGATGAATGAAGCAGTAGCTACTCAGTACATTGTAGCTTGGTGTGGTGATGAAAAATACCAAGTCAAAGGCCTATGCAATGATCAACATGTTGTTGATATGCAAGAAAGGGTATGCAGCTTCAGGAAATGGGAATTAACATGTATCTCTTGCAGACATGTGATTTATGTGTTGTATAACAAAGCAGATCATGGTGAGTGTGTACAAGAGCTCCATACTTATGTCCACAAGGTGCACTGGTTACAAACTTGGAAAACTACATATGAGTACAAGGTGGAACCAATTAAAGGTCGGGCACTGTGGCCTAGAAGTGAGTATCCAATGCATATCACACCTCCCCCATACAGTAATCAACCTGGGAGACCTAAAAAGAAGAGAAGGCAGTCCATGGAGGAGAGAAGTCAAAGCAAGAGTCAGAGTCAGAGTCAGAGTCAAAGGTCAGATGCTGGTCCTAGTGAGATTCATGGTCATGGCCCACATGGTAGTGGGAAACTAACAAGAAAGTTTGTTACTGTGACATGTAGTAAGTGTGGAAACAAAGGTCACAACTCCAGGACATGCAAAGGTCAGGGAGGGACTTGATGGACTATGTTGGTTTTATCTTTTGGTTTCACTATGTTGAACAACTTTGTTTTGATTCCTAGATGTTGGATGTCTTTTGTTGCAATAACATTGTTTTCAATTAACTTATGACATGTATTTTGAAGATGGTAATAGATATTATATGTTTAGTATGCTTTTCTACTAACTACATATGGATGTATGCTATGTTATCTTTAGCAGGTTATGTATGAACAACAGAACAAATCCATAATTGGTTAATAGATACCAAATTTTCATTACCATTAATTTGCATTACAATAATGTTCTACAGTTGCAAAAAACTAGCTAAACAAGACACATATACCCCTAACCTATTACAAAAGATAACCATAACATTTGTGCACTTACAACAACAAAAAAATCCAGCTATAGACTGGGTAATACTTAAACATAGTTGCTTGTTCTTTGATCTTCACCACTTCTTTTTCATGCTTACTTGCTTGAACTTTTATATCATCCACTGTTTTCCGTAGCTTATTGATTGTCCTAAGTAGTCCTGGTATTATAACTTTGGAACGAGCACACATGGGTTCATCATACCACCTAATAAACCCACATGACGAATTCTTGAAAAAAAAAGAAAAAGAAAGAAACATTAGATTATCAGGGAGCAGTCGTCAAAAACAAACTGTAACATACTTACCGGGTCAGAACATCCCCAAAATCGGCGCCCTGGGTTGTTATCTGTCCACGATGCTCGAACTATCGCCCACTTTCTGCATAAGCACATCACCATTGTCGATGGAGAAGATGAAATCATAGAGGGGGGCGATTGATGAAGAAGATGAAATCGTAGATGGAGTGATCGTTAGGGCTTGTTGCTGGAGACGAGAATAGAGACGTTAAAATCTCTTTATGAACTAAATAATAATAATATAATAAAGGGGCTAGATGAATGGACTAAAATACCCTTAAGTGGGAGGGGTATGGATAAAGTAACGAGAGCTTAGTAACGGTTGTTAAGCCATTGGACTAAACTTGCAACAAAATGAAACTATTGGATCATCCTTGCAAGCCAAACCCAATTTGGACCAAACATGCTAGTTTTGACATACACAGGGATCAAATTTACAATTTTATCAAATATATATACGTGGTTAAACCGTAAAACTATTAATATATGAAGGACATTTATATATTTTAAATAAATATAAAGTTTTCTATATATGTTTTATTTATTACACATATACCAAATATAATAATGTATTTTACAACGAAAAATAAAATACGACGCTTAAAAAAATTCCCACGAGTTAAAAAACAATTCCAAATTTACTTTATTGGATTTGCTTTTAATACCGAGACAAAAATTTCATAGATAAATAAGCTTTCAAGATATGTTTTATTTATTACACGTTTATACCTAACGAACAACTTTTCTTTTTGAAAAAAGAAAAAAAAAACAAAAATATTTTCCTTCAAAAGAAAACAACAAAACTATATTCCTTTTATCCTTAATCTTTGAAGTTTTAACAATGGCAAATATATTTGGGGTTGATGATGTAGAAAAGTAACGTAATTGGGTTGTCCACATTACGGTAATGATATTTTTTTCGTATATATTTGTCAATTGAAATTGTTTGTCATGTTCAAATTAAGATAATATTCCGGTAATCTTAG